CACAGGGGTCGGGGCCAATAGTGGGCGATGGCGAGTAAGGGCTTGACGGTCAGGGAGTGATATGGTAGGATGCGGTCATAGGAAGGGAACTCGGTCCCTATGATAATGATCCCGGGTTTCGTGACGACGTGACACGTGTATGGGTTAGAGTAGTGGGGGAGAGAAGGACTCGTCCCAAGGCCTGATTGAGGTCCAACTCGGAGATTCATTCGTTCCCCGTTAAGTAAGGGAAGTTTGGGGGTTCCACCCCTGGTCCGTGCAGACAAACGAGAGTGTTCCCAATATCTCTGAAATTCACGATCCCTTAAACACTCACGGTCAATGACGTAACCGAGAGAGTCGACATTCATGTTGCTAGTTGGGGTGGAACATTGGCCATTCGAGATTTAGTTGAGTTCAGGGTTCGCGGACACGCGTGTAGGTGGCGATTGTCTCCGGCCGAGCTTGCACGCGTATCCGCGAGCCTTGTCCTTCGGTCAGAGGGGCGGAAGTCGGGGGCTCGTAAGACAAATCATCCTATAATGGGGCAACCTTTCAATAGTCTATCATGCCTATCCAATTCATACACAAGTAGGATTACGCCTATCATTCATGCATCTAGTTTCGAATCGAGGTTCATGCAACATTTCCTTGGCCCATCGATCCGAAATTACGTAAGGGCCAATCGTCGAGGATCAATCAATTAGACCAATCAAAAGACGGAGAAGGGGAGGGGAGGAAGACAACCATTCATCAACACCCGAGGAGAGGAAATGAAAACATACACGTCAACGAAAAAGAGCAAATGCCAAGTCCGAAGGTCGATCCAGGGAAAACCAGAGGGGCGACTCGCACCAATTACCGAAATTGCTCAGGAGGAAAGAAGAAGAATCAAAATGGCTTAGAGGGATAGAAGAAGAAACTCATCGCACACTTCGTGTCTCTCTCTCTCTCTCTCTCTCTCTCTCTCTCTCTCTCTCTCTCTCTCTCTCTCTCTCTCTCTCTCTCTCTCTCTCTCTCTCTCTCTCTCTCTCTCTCTCTCTCTCTCTCTCTCTCTCTCTCTCTCTCATCACCCCGATGCGGGCAGTCAGTCGCCACGCACCTACGCAGAGTTGTCACCAGCTTAGTCCGAACATGCCAGCCGGGTTCGCCCGTGTGCCACAGTCCATCGCGGCCCCACGTCAACCCCGCATGCCCAGTACCAGCTCGTCGGATCACCCAACTCTCTACTTACCTTCCAAGTCTCGCTCGTTAGCCGATCCTCTCGACCGCGCTAACTTCCAGAAGTCTTAGAGAGGGAATTAATCGCGCTTGCGAAATTTATAGCATGCATGCTTTGCGCGAGATACTCGGGATCGTGTTTAGGTGGGAGGAGGAAGGAGGAAGGAAGTGCCTACGCCTGCATGGCCAGGCCGCCGCGTGGGGGACGTAGCCAGACTCCACACATCGATCCAGTCATGCAAGCGTTCAGGCCAATAGGACGGGGGGGGGAGGTATACGCGCGCAAGGGCGCCATAAAAGATATTAAGAACAAGAGGATTACAGTTGCAATCACGCCCGCACAAACAAAGATTACAGTTACACACGAGATTAATGCACGGAAAAGTCAGAACACAGTTCCTGACGCGGCCGAGCGTGCGCAGGCATGAAGCGTCGCGCAGCAGAAATTGAGATGCGCCCAAATTCCTAGTCTAAATCCTAATTGCAAAAAGAAAATCCGAACGAAGCAAATTCCGAGAGCCCGCGGAGGCTCGATATCAGTTGAAAATTCAAAAAGATTTCCCCGCGTGACAATCGCGCCAAAATTCCCATTTCCCACAGCAGAACAAGAAAGAAGCTATGGCAACCATTATTCGTCACGCTCGCTGAGGTGTGAATCAACTATCAACCGTCGTGGTACCAGACCAGCCTTCAATCGAAAGAGAAGAAAAAGCAGGGACATCCATGCAATCTGCCAGGCCATTCCGACTCAACCAATTTCAACCCCGAACGTAGCCTCGCACAGAAGACTGCACGGTTGCAGAAAGTAGTTCATCACAGCGTATCCCGACTCGTAAAAATTGTCCTAACTTATTGTCTCACTCCACTACAGTAACTCTCCATTCTAGAATTTGGTGGAGTTTTTCATTGCTCCATATTATGAAAACCTCTTGTATAGCTGTCAGAGAGACCGTCAGAAAAGCACTCTCCGCCATTGTATAGTTCCTGCCTGCCCTGCCTGCAAAATACTTTTCTTGTAGTGGGACCGAATTTAGAGTCCGCCTCCGGTCTGGGCGGATGGAATGCTGAGGGCGTTGTCTTCTAGTGCGGTCACTGTGTCTTCTAGCACAGTCACAAACTGGCGTGTCCTCGGATCCACGCAGAGTGGAGAGTGAGTGGAGGGTGACGGGTTTTCCACCAATTTGGATAGTCTGACAACTATGCAAGCACTGCACAAATAATTGTGAAGTAACAGATGACAGTCAGAAAGCTGCAGCCTGTGGTAAGCAGCTACTGAAAGCCTCCATATCAGTTGGGCGACTGGGTGGCTGAAGATGCCACCCTGTAGGACAGGACCTGGGCTTGGACAGTCAATCCCCTGGTACCCCAGGGCAATTCACGCTGACACCCCTGGAAAACCCTTGAGGCCATCAGCAGAATCAGGATCAGGAGATAACGATGTGTCAGGGATGCTGGACCTGGTTTCCAGCAGGTGCTGCTCCCCACCAATAGAACAGAGTTCCTGAGCAGAGAATACTAGGGGGGGCTGCTCTCGTATCACCCCTCCATTGTAGACTCTGCCTGGTTTAAAAAGAAAAGGGAAAACTAGGGCGCAGTCAAGGTTTTCAGTTTTGACTCTTAAATGCGTTTCAGTCATGGTTTCACAATTTTGACTTGTGAATGGGTTTCAGGCATGGTTTCCCCAATGTTACTCCAAAGCCAGGAAAATCGTGAATGTATCCCAGCTTTAGGGTTGGGTGGGGATGTGTTGTATTTGAGGGATGCCTGAAGTGGATTTAGACCTGAGAATGTGATTGCGCGGTAGTTACCCGCCCCAAAAAAAAAGAAAAGCTGAGTGGAGAGTAGTGGAGTGAGACCCTTAGCGAGGCAAAAATACCTTCAAGTTCTGGCCTAGCACAGCTGGTTCAGATGAGTGAGAATATTTCTGAATTTACCTTAGGCACTATGCAGTGGACTCGGATAACCAACGCTGCACCACATTTTCTCCTACATTGGGCCTGGCTGCACTACCCTCCACATGCGCAAAAGACGAAAAAGATGACAATGCATCTTTCCATGTTCTAGGGGTGGATTCAGTCTCATCTTGCACATTTCAAGAGTAGTGCAGGAGGCCCATTATGTGTTGTTTTTGAAAAGGAACTTTGGTTATCCAGCAGCCTTATCTCAGTTGGTGAGGAACACCAGTGACAGGGCCCAGTTGCACTACTCGCCATCCGTTGTCGGGCAGGCTGCCTACCAGCCGGACACTCCCTCAGTAGGGAGAGCCGCTCCCCGACACCGTCACTATTCGTGGCGGATGCGTGGAGAGTGAAAAAAATGAAAATGGTGTCAAACTTGAGGCCTGGTTGCACTTACTCGCCACTAGATTTCTTCTACAGAAAAGTTAAAAAAAAGGGGTAACTTCGGCGCAGTCACGAAAACAGTTTGTAATTGCACTTCAGGCAATCCCGCGAATACGACACGCCCCCACGCGACCCCACCGGACCCGAAACATAGGTCATATACATTCGGCATTACCGGCCCTTTTGCCTCAAGTGCAATCACAAACTCAAACCCTGACTGCGCCATAGTTTTCTCTTAAAAAAATTGTCTACCTGATGTCGACTCTTGAAGCCGTGCACTCTCCAGAAAGTTGTTTTGTGGAGAGGTCCCAGGACCACCACCCTCCACAAAAAGACCGTCATGCACAGGTGGGGGGAAACCGAAAACACTCTCTACAACTTGTGTGTGTCCACGGTGTGGCGAGCAGTGTGACATATTTTTCATTCGCCAAGTTTGGCAAGTAAGTGCAACAAGGCGCCTACGCGCCTGACGAGTAGTGCAACTAGGCCCACATTCAGGAGGTTGTGGTTTCAAAACCCATGACCATGTGTGGCACACCTACTGCCAACTGGCTGTGATAGTCCGCTTCAGTAGTAGCACAGCTTTGGCCAACACGTGTGTGAGTGTGAGTCGGTGGTTGTGTGTGGTGGGTGGGAGAGTGTTGGCCTTAGACACTGCTGCTATTGTATGGGGGAGTGGGGGATGATGTAAAGGGAGGCGAGCTGCTGGCAAAATGCGCGGTCCTTGACCCCCACCAGCGGCCTCACCCTACTCCGTGGGTCCAGAGGCCCCACCCTACTCCCTGACTACCGCTGTTAGGGCAGGGGGCAACATGCAATCCCTTCGCTGTGAGGTAGCTATTCTTGCGGGGGTCCTCTGTATATCCTTCAGAGGCCCCGCTCGGCAGGGGGCAACATGCAATCCCTCCGAAGCCCTACTTCCCACCAATAAACTGGAGCAGAAAAATAACAAAAACGTTTTTCGAGGTAGCAGAGAGAAAAAAAGAAAAAGAAAAAAAAAACGTGTTTCGAGGAGAAGGAAAAAAAGAGAAAAAGAAACTACGCTAAAAAAGAAAAGAGAAAAGAAAACTCGATGCTGTTCGAAGCTTGTCACCCTTTTATTTAAAAAAGAAAAAGAAAAAAAGCTTGTCACCCTTTTTGCCTTTTTTCATTCCTAAAGAATCCTCGGTGGATTTCCTCATCTCAGGCAAAGGGTTCGTGGTTTGCAAGATTCCAAAAATAGAAAGCGTGAACTACGCTGAGGAGCTTCAACGTGGAGGACACCCGGCTTCTGACGAGTGGCTGAGAAACTCCCATGCTGTGCTGTCCGCTGTCCCATCACAGAACTGTCCTTGGGATTGATTCACTGGAGAGAGAGAGAGAGAGAGAGAGAGAGAGAGAGCTTCTGATGAGTGGCTGGAATTTTTCCATGCTGTTCAGAGCTTCGATATCCGCATTGTGATCACCGAACTGTAAACGTGGGAGTTGAAGAGAGGCCAGCAGAGAGGACGGGAGGAACGGAGAGAGGTCCAGCTGTTCTCGTGAATCACTAGGGAAAACACACACACACACACACACACACACACAGAGAGAGAGAGAGAGAGAGAGAGAGAGAGAGAGAGAGGAGGTGGTTGGGACTTGGCGCGGGTGATGTCGATCGGGAGTGCTACAGTGCTTTGCAGGGGTGCCGCGTTGGCGGCTTCTGCCACGTGTCGCGCTCCTGAGGCACTCGATCTGGTGCCCCGCTCTTATTGCGCACGGCACTACGCCCTTCCCCCTCCTTTCTCTCCTACTCCCCCTCCTCCTCCTTACTCTGCTTTGGCGCCAGCATTATCCGTTACTTCGCCTTGTTATCCGCATCCTAATCATTTAAGGAGATATTGTAGGCATTCAAGTTGGCGCTCATTCCGGGAGCAAAATGAACATGTTTACGGTGTTTGCGGCCCTGGTAGGAGGGGTGGGTGGTGGAGATCTGGGAGAAGGAAACACGTGGCATCTGCCTCGTGCTGGGGCTCCTTGAGTGGGGATTTATCTGCCGCTTGGAATGGTTTGCAGACTGCCACGTGTCTCTCGCGGGGCACGAGGAATGCTGGCCTGAGAAGGTTAGTTGATGGGGACCACGTGTCTCTCGCTTTCGTCCGCGTGTCTTCGACATGTAAGGCCAGCTCCGCCAGCCTGCGCATTTCCCCCACCTCAAGGGCCGGGATCAGCAACGGTAATCGCCGCTGCTACAGCTGCTGGTCGATTACCGAGCCTCTTACTGGTTCCTGGAGCTTCGCGCGAGCAGCAGCGGAGGCGCAGCGCGCGCCGAGCGCGCGCGCGGCGGATGCGGCGCAGAGCGTCAGCGCTGTGGCAGGCAACGTCACTACCACGTCATCATCGCTGACGTGGAGCCACCTAGGATCGCCAGCGTGTGGCAATCAAAGTCTGAACCGACGAAGCAGAAGATTAGGAACAGGAGGAAGGGGAGGAGTAGGTAGGGGAGGTGTTGGAGGGGGAGGGAGAGGAGGAGGAGGAGGAGGAGGAGGAGGGGGAGGGGGGAGGTGGTATGTCACAAAGCCGACAGTTCACGGACACGTTGTTGCCAAAGGAAATGCTGGCGCTCGCTTCAGGAGCCGCGACTGGAAGAGCTCGATAGGACCAGGTGCTGAGTCACGGACTACCGTCTGGACCAGGGGGTCCGTTGCTGGTCCTCGCTCCATTGCATATCTGTTGACGTCAACCGATTTGCATGCCGGAGGACTCTGGAGCGGCAGTCGGTCTACGGCAAGCAAGGTTGGAGAATTGCGCGTTGCTGCCTCCTGCTGCTGCTGGGGAGCGCGAATAGGGGAGGAGAGAGGGGGGGGGAGAGAGGGAGAGATCAAGAGGAGGGAGGGAGAAGGAGGAGGAGGGAGGAGGTGGGGGAGGGGAACGCGAGGCCGGATTGAGTGTTTCGGATGTGTGGGTGTTCTCCTGAGAGGCAGTCGAGATCGAAGAGGATCCGTCGCCGCCATGTCGAGAGGTTGTGATAGTGATGCGACGGAGGAAGGAGGTGCCACGTGGCGGAGGAGGAGGAGGTGCCACGTGGCGGTCATCGGTGCGGGCGCAGCTGGCCTGGTCGCGGCCAGGGAGCTGCTGAGAGAAGGCCACGTGGTCAGTCTCTTCGAGCTACAAGGACATGTCGGTGGAGTTTGGGTGTATGAGGATTCGGTGGAGGATGACCCACTAAGTGTGAGAGAGGATCGCCATCGCGTCCATTCAAGCATGTATGCTCATCTCAGAACGAATCTTCCGAGAGAGTTGATGAGTTTTAAAGACTTCGCGTTTTTGCCCAAGCCCGGGCGTGACGCTCGTCGGTTCTGTGGACACGTGGCAGTTGCACAGTACTTGAAAGATTTCGCTGATGAGCATTGCCTCTGGGACGTCATCCATCTCAATACGGAGGTTGTGCGTGTTGAACCAGTTTTGGATAAGATTCCTTATCCGGATAAGGAGAATTTGGATAAGATTCCGGATAAGGAGGATTTGGATAAGATTTCTTTGGATAAGGTTTCTTTGGATAAGGTTTCTTTGGATAAGGAAAAATTGGATAAGATTGCTTCGCCGTGGGTGAAATGGAGGGTAACGACTCGGAGGCGGAGGAGGAGGAGGAGGAGTACGAGAGGGGAGGCGAAGAACAAGGGTTCTAACGAGGAGAAGAGGGAGCAGAGGGAGGGGGAGGAGGGGGAGGAGGGGGAGAGGGGGGAGGGGGGTGGCACACAGGTGAGTCCGATGGGAACCACAGTTCCTGGTCCAGGTCCAGGTCCTGTTCCCGTTCCTCTTCCCATTCCCAGTCCGGTTCCAGGTCCTGGTCCAGTTCCAGTACCGGCTCCAATTCCAGCTCCGGCTCCAGTTCCAATTCCAGGTATAGTTCCACAGCCAGATCCGGATGTTGTTCCGGGTCCCGAGCCTGTTCCTGGTCCACCTCCACGTCCAGGTCCCGAGCCAGGTAGACTTCCCGTCTCCGATCCAGATCGCGTTACCGCAGCTCTGGACGCCGGTACTGTTGCCGTTCCCCCCGTACCCGATACAATCCCGACACCGCCCGTTCCAGATCCCGTTCCTTCTCCCCCACCTCCAGGTCCAGTCCCAGATCCAGGTGCCGTTCCTGCTCCTGGTCCCGATCCTGGATTATATAACGATGATAATAATTATGATGATGAGGATGAGGATGATGAGCAGGTTGTGACGACCACAGAGACGTTCGACGCTGTCGTCGTTTGTAATGGGCACTATTCTGAGCCCAAGGTCGTGGCGATTCCTGTGGTTGACACGTGGCCCGGCCTCCAGATGCACAGTCATAATTACCGCAAACCGGATATATTTGTGGATAAGGTTGTGGTCCTGATCGGCGCGCAATCTAGCGGGCAGGATATCGCTATAGAGATTGCATCGACGGCGAGGGAGGTGTTTTTGTGTGCTCGGTCCTGGGTGGGTCACGACTTGTCCCCCCTGCCTCAACCGATAGGTCCTCGGCAGAACCTCTGGCTTCGACCGCTGATCTCTCACGCCTGTCGGGACGGTCTTGTCGTTTTCCAGGATGGCTCATCCACGAAAGCTGACGTCATCATACACTGCACCGGGTACAAATACAGTTTCCCGTTTTTGGATAATATTAAGGTTAAGGATCATAATGATGACAAGGAGGAGGTTGGTGGTGGTAGTGGTGGTCGTGCGGAGGGGGAGGAGGGGGGGGAGAGGGGACTGATTTCCGTTGACGACAACCGCGTGACTCCGCTGTACCAGCACGTGTTTTGCGCCAAGGCCCCCTCTCTCGCGTTCGTCGGGATCCCGTTCAAGGTCGTGCCTTTCCCGCTGTGCGAGGTGCAGTCCCTCTGGATCGCGCAGGTGCTGTCGGGACGGTCAAATCCGTTGCCGTCAACGAAAGAGATGATGGCCGTCGTCCGGAGCGTGGAGGAGGAGAGGGAGAGTAGGGGGGTACCCAAGCGTCACACCCATCTCCTGGGTCTCAAGCAGTGGGAGTACCATGAGTGGGTACTTAACCAATGCAAGGACGGAATACCGCTGGAGCCGTGGAGGATAAAAATGTACTTGGAATGTGGACTGCATAAGAAGTCCAATCCTGAAAATTTCAGGGATAGCTGGGCTGATCAGCAGCTGCACGAAGAGGGTATGGCGGCAATGAGGAGGGTGGAGGAGGAGAGAGAGAGTAGGAGAGAGAGAGTAGGAGGAGGAGGAGGAGGAGGGGGAAGAAACTCGAGTCGGGATTAGGAGACGGATCGGGATCGGGAGCTTCGCAAAAAAAAATATTGTGACGGGGGAACGACGCCGGAGGGTTCTCTCTCTCTAATTCGGCAGCACGACGGCCTGGCCCCTTTCGCCTGGTCACAGCCCGCCGGATGCATCTGACGCACATTGCGGCCCAGATTCTGAGAGGAGCGTAAAGAAAGAAAGAAGAGGCGACATGGGGTGCTCGCACCAGACTTGGACGGGCCTGGATATATTTTGTCGGGGAGCTACGACTAGATGCATTCAGTAAAATTCGACTCCGTCTATGTCCTCCTGTCCATTGTTGTCGGAGCGTAAAGGCAGGCGCAGCCTCGTCGGGACGCCGAGTGAAATCCCGGTCATGTGCTCAGCATCTGCCATCGTTGCCGTTCGCTTCCCGTTTTTACCTTTTATGCTTCCCCCCCCCCCCTCCCCTCCTCGATTACACGTCTCTTTCCTTCGACTGTCTCTTCTTCTTACTTCTTTTCTTTGTTCTTTTTTCTTCTTCTTTCTTCTCTAAGGGTTGAACATGCGGAAGCTAAGGGAAATTCTCTGGTGGGTATGCACAAAGCAGCCATACTCGCTGTTTTCCATTCTTCTTTTCTTCTTCTTCTTCTTCTTCTTCTTCTTCTTCTTCTTCTTCTTCTTCCTCGTGTTGATGATGCATTACTACCCTAGTTGATTGCTCTAAGGGTTGAACATGCGGAAGGTAAGGGGAATCTCTGGTGGCAGTGGTGGGTATGCACACAGCAGCCATAGTCCCTGTTTTCCATTCTTCTTCTTCTTCTTCTTCTTCTTCTTCTTCTTCTTTGTGTTGATGATGCATTGCTTGCTTAGTTGATTGTTTCAATTTGATTGTACAATATTTTCTTTTTCTGCGTTTGTTTTTACCTTTTTTGCGTTGTATGATCAGCCCGGGATCTGATTCTGCTAATGATGATGATGATGATACCCCGTTAATAATGATGGTGATGATGATGATGATGATACCCAGTTAATAATGATGGTGATGATGATGGTTCTGGAGTAGTGGCGAATTGGTTGCTAATTGATTGTCTTCTTCTTCTTCTTCTTCTTCTTCTTCTTCTTCTTCTACCTCCCCCTCCTCCTCCTCCATGAACGGCTGGTGGATTGCATGATTTTTATTTTATTTTATTTTTTTTTGAAGTCTGATTCTTCTCTGCGTCTTCGTTGGATTCGTTGCAGATTGTTTTCTATTTTTTTTTTCCCCCCCCCTTCTTTCTTTCGCCCTGAATTGCCGTTAGATTGATCTTTTTCATTTCTTCTTTGTTTCTTTGTTTCTTTCTTCATCTGTCCTGTTTTGTTTGCTCAGAATCGTTCTTCTTCTGTGTCCTTTTTTTTTTTTTTTTTTTTTTTTTNTTATTTTATTTTTTTTTGAAGTCTGATTCTTCTCTGCGTCTTCGTTGGATTCGTTGCAGATTGTTTTCTATTTTTTTTTTCCCCCCCCCTTCTTTTTTTCCCCCTAAATTGCTGTTAGATTGTTCTTTTTCATTTCTTCTTTGTTTCTTTTTTTTTTTTTTCTTTTTTTTTGTTTTTTTTTCTTTTAATTTTTTTTTTTCTGTGTCCTTTTTTTTTTTTTTTTTTTTTTTTTGCCCCTCTTCTTCTTTCTTTTTCACTATTCGTCAGTTTCCAGTTCATGGACCTCCTCTTCGTCTTCTCCGTGTTGCTCGAGTACTTGGTCCTGTCGTTGATGATCGTGTATATCTTTTCTTTTCCTTTCCTTTTTTTTTTTTCCTTCTTTCTTTTTTTTTTTCCCCCTCCTTTTTCTTTTGCCGCGGGCAGGAGAAGAGAATCAATCTTGAAACGTCGCATCACCGTAGTTGATTATATTTCTTCTTTTCATCTTTTTTTTTTTTTTTTTTTTTTTCATCGTGTTTTTTTTTTTCCCCTCATGGATGTTTCATATCTTTCCATGCGTAGACGCTGAGCGATTGGCCTCGCTTATTCAAATTCAAATTCTTCTTCTTCTTCTTTTCTCCTCTCCCTGCCGCAGGAGCTGTGAGATTGGGGACAATTTCATTTGTTTCTCCCCCTCTCTTCCCTCCCCCATTTCTCCCCCCCCCCCCGCCGCCCGGAAGGGAGGGAAGGATATTTTCGCACAACTGGTAGGGTATAGGTTAGACGAGAGGGAAGTGGGTTGCTGAAAAGTGTAAAGGAACGGGCTAGAAAAGGGGGGAGAGAGAGAGAGAGAGAGAGAGAGAGAGAGAGAGAGAGAGAGAGAGAGAGAGAGAGAAAGACGTGTGATTTTGGAATCTGATTGGTCGATTGCTTTCAATTTGAGTAAAGACCCTTCAAGGAGAGTTCCCCTCCACCTCCCCCCCTCCCCCCCTTTCTCACCCCATCCTCCCATATCGCAATTCCAATTAGTTTTAGCGGAATAAATGATGACGTCGGGAGAAATTACTGCAACGATGATGGCCATTCTCCTTTGTTCTCCAACCATTCGCTTGATGGCATGGGAGTTGTTTTCTCTGTCTCTCTTTTATTTTTCTTTTTCCATGTCTGTTTGTGAGTGTGCGTCTATTTTTGGGAGAAAACAGTTCCGTAAAGAAGACATGACTTTGGGTCTTGCTCCACCACTCACCACATGCAGAAACGACAAAAATACCGGGGTGTATCTTTCCATGTTCTAGCGGAAGATTCATTCTCATTTTGCACATTTGGTGAGTGGTCGAGCGTGGCCTGTGTTTGTGTGTGTGGAAAACGCGTTGTTCCTAGTTCATCTGAAAAGGCGTTGACGAAACAAAATTTTCTGGTGATTTTTCTTCGGCCACGTCAGCCTCGTCAGCCACGTCAGCCACGCTAATAGTTCACCACGTGCAATGCCACGTGTTTTTGTTTTTGTTTTTTTCTCCTCCTCTTGCGCAGCGGCCATGCTAAAAAAAACAAAAAACCTTCTGTTATCGTTCCAATTTTAGGTCACTTAATGGTGTGCCAGTTTTGTTTGGAGATAAGTAATGGACGCTTGTTTTTTTTTTCCCCGTCTTTCTCTTTTTCAATTCGACGTTGCATTCCACATGCATGGCACGGGTACCCTCCTGCTGCTGCTGCTGCTGCTGCTGGAAAAAAATAAATAAAAAAAATCAGCTACTCCTGCTGCTGCTATTGCGCCGATGCAGGTCGGTTCATCAGATCAAGCAGAAGCTGAGTTGGGAAAAAAAAAAAGCAAAAAAAAAAGCTGGGTAGGCTGCGGCGATGTGTGACCGTGGATGGATGCCATGGCCAGCTGTTTTTCCCTTTTTTTTTGGCGGGAGAAGAAGTGTGACTGGATTTGCCGCGCCAGGTTCTCAGAATTGGCGCCATTTTGTTCACCAGATACATCCGCACGAGAGGGTAAGGAAGAAGGTGGGTGGACGTCGGGTGGCTGCTCGTATGCTGAGCTTGGAGTTGTGCTGACGTGGGTAGCTGACTTAGAAAGAAAAAAAAAAGATCTTGGAAGATTCTGAATGATCTTGAACAATCCTGGCTCGCTCCCGTCTCGGGCATCCGGAGGCAGGCGGCGAACGCACTTGCTGTGCATAAGCTGTGGTGGATTCTCTTTTTTTGGGGTGGGGGGGCGGGGAATTGTTGAAATGCCCCTGGAAGTTCGGGTATTACGTCAGATAACCCTAAAAGGCATGGGCATGGCGAAATGCCCCCTATGACAGTAGTGAAACCTTGCGAAATACCCCACTCGCCAGTTGGACCTGTCATCTTTTGCATATACCCCTACCGAGCCTTGGGCAGCTTGTCCCTAATGCCCTGGTATTTTAGGCCGTTGGACCCAGCAGATTGCAAAAGAAATGCAAGTGCCCCTGCAGCCCACGGCCAGGGCATATCGCAAAGTAGCCAATGAGCGGGACAGGGGCAGATGCCGGACTTCGGGGCATTTCAGTGTACCCCTGCGTTTCAGGGGCATCTTATGAAATACTGAAAAGTTTTAAGGATACTTCAACAATTTTCCCTTCTTTTTTTTTTTGCTGTGGTGCATTCTTGCGGCTCTGAGGCATCGACGAGGCTAACGGCCATACTCCTTTTTCTCCCCAATTTCTGCGTTTTTTTTTCATAGAAAGGGAGAATTTGTGAAATACCCCTGAAAGTCCATATCCGCTTTGTGGTTTATATGGTCTGTAGTTAGTGCGCTCCCTGGCCCCTGCACCAAGTATGCCAATGTCACTCCCCAACTGTTTCTTTGCTGGTTCGTAGCTTGTGCATTCCCTGCCCTCTGCACTACCGTCTTCCCCGAACACAACGCACCCGGTCCCTCATTTTGGTTGAACCTGACCGGAAATATAGGTTGCGTACGGTCATTATCGTGGTGCTTTATGTTTGGTTGAACCTGACCGGAAATATAGGTTGCGCCTGAATTCCCCAGTTGTTGTCAAATTCGTCTCAAAGGTTCGGTCCCTGTTATGACCCCTGTTATGTTCTGTTGATGACTTGTGCCGAACACTCCTCCGACGATCTCCAACAGTGTCACTGTTGCTCCCAAAGGTGCTGGCGTACTTTTGATTTTCCAGTCGGGCGATTGGGCTTCAGCCCGTCTCTCAAGGATAAGGGGACTGAGGGGCGGGAGGGGTGGGTGGTGGCGGAGTCAGGGAGGGACAGGGCAAGGGGGGGGGGGGGGGGGGGGGGGGGGGGGGGGGGGGGGGGGGGGGGGGG